GATCGAGAAGCTGACCACAGCTCTGTCCTCCTAATGCGTTCACCCCAAGCAAATCAGAGAGTGATTCCCACTGCCCAGCAGCCACAGGCTCTTGCCAACTAAGCCAATTTAACATTTACCCCTAATCCTGTACATACACAGAGGAGGAGGTCCTACTTCATGAATAGGACAACATTGTGTATTTGTAGACGGGACCTAAAATTTTGACACGGCTGCTAAAGGTGCCAGATCTTTGCTCCCTCTACCCCCAGCCTGTAACAACTGCAGTGTACAAACCAGACACTCCGTTCCTGCCTGGAAAATCTACATTGGGACTGATACCATGAAAATGCAGCTTGGCTGTATCTGGTGGTCCAGCTACAATTGCACCGTCTCAATAAAACGTGCAGGCACTTCTCCTTAGTGCAAGGTAAACCAAAGAAGGACTTGGGACTTGCAGTAAGAATGAAGGAAGAGCAGCACTCACTCCAGCCGCTCGCCTTAAGGTGTTGGCATGTGGAGACAAACTGAATGGTGCAGCAAGTGGGTTAGGCACAACTGTCATTGCCCAGGTCCGCTCCTTTCCCATTGTCCAAACAAACCTACAGGCTGTTCCCCTTCAGATCCCTCGTGGCAGAAGACAGATTATATTACCTCTGTCTCTACTGCCTTCATCAATTAGTGCTCGTACCCTTCAGCCCATTCATTTCAATAGGGTGACATACAGCTGCAAAAGGGAGACTTAAGGATCAACCAAATAAATATTAAAGGACTTAATGGCCTGTGAAATGCAGAAATGACATTGAAAAATCAGAATGCTTCAAATTCTATAGGTGGTATATAAGGAAAGATATTACGTGTTCCTAATGTCAGCCCACGTTCCACTAAGACACAAACTGGCATCATCGTAAGACCAGTCCAAAAATGTGATGCTGTGGTGTGCTATTTAAAGACATTCCATAATTTACTTCCAATACCAGAAAACAGATTTCTCTGCAATTTGACAAGAGTATATCAAAGGCAGAGATCAAGCCCCTGTCATCATTTAGGCACAAGGACACATACAATGCCATAAAAGGAGAGAGATCGTACATATGATTTCTTATCATTAGAAACATCTCGAGACCTTCCTACTTCAGTCACATTTTAATGCCAGGTACAATCATTTGGCAAAATTCAGTCACTGGATTCCCTCAAAAATGTTATGTTGCTTTGTATTGGTAGGACCTGGACATATTTTTCTATTCCTTTTTTAAGTCTAGCTTTTTGAAATCTAGCTTTTTACCTTCCTTGCAGTTTCAGATGCATTTCAGACACATTCCCCAAGGCTCAATCCTACAGCAGGTTCTGTTCAACATTTTTATGAATGATCCGAATGCAAGAATCCAATGCAACTTCAGCAAGCTTGCTGATGATACTCAAATGGAAAGAACCATCGACTGCCTGAAGGGACAAGGGGCCTTGCAGGGGGATCAAAAATAGCACCGATAACAGGACAAGCAGAAGACCTTTCTCAAATCTTTTTAAAGTCCATTTTAATTGCTAGGGATTACATAACTAAACGCAATTCAATCTAATTCACAAGTTTTATCTGTTCCAAAAGCAAAAAAAAAAAAAAAGTATTTACAGATGAATACTGTTACTCTCTTCATTCAGCTTTATATTTTCATAGTATTCAAAGAGAAATTTTATTTAAAAGATACTACATTCCTTCTGCTTCTTTATATTCATAAGGGATACTATTATAGGTAGAACAAAGAGAGAATATGTACATGTCCTTATTTCCAGTAGTGCTCTACTAAGAACATTATAGCATACAAAAGGATCTGTAAGGTATGCTACTGCACAGATTTGTTCTGTTTTACAAGCATGTGGAGAACAAATATGCATCACTGTTGCTTATCCATGCACGCAGTAGCAGAACAAAAACCCACAATAATTTAATAGCACATTCATGCAAAGGGAACATGAGATTTAAAAGGCTTATGGTGCTATGTCCAATATTAATTCATGCTATCTCCCAGTCGCTTCAATTCACACTGGCAGTCTGGCCTCAGTCCAACATTCATCTTCCTGCTGTAATCAAGAGTTCTGTGCAGAGAATAAGAGTGCACTACAGCTCTGTACTTACTGCACTTCTAGACCATGAATTATTTTATTTCCAGTTTTGTTTGCTTTTTTTTTTTTAACTTTTCTGCTTCTCCCTATACTTGCCTCACTCTTATTTCTGTCAGCCTCTCAAGGAACCTCAGTGAACTTCCCCTAAGATCAGGAACTCCCTTCAAATCAAGTAAAGCATTGCAGGAGTAAGCACTTGAAAACAAACAAAACAAAACAACCCCCCACCACACACACACACACAAACCCACAAATAGAATAACTACGGTTACTGCATGATTTCATGTGCTCAGAATATGTCTTTCTCCCTTCCTCCCTCAGCTGCTTACAGCACTGAGTGCTGAAGACCCTTAGGTACCAAAGTAAGCACAAATTCTTGTCTGTGCAGCCAAGTCTTACCTCCCAGTGTTTATACTGCTTTGGAGAGTTCTTGTTTTATTCCTAATTCACTAACCTGGATCAGGAAGGCATACTTGTCAGAGGACCCAGCTCTGATACTGTTCTTTCGAATATGACTGGCAGTACATAATGAAGTACTTAGAATAAAATCCAGCCCATCCTCAGGTCAGCTCTCATTCACAAGGTATACGAACAGCACATCTGTTCATTACTCACAATGCAACGTGCTCATCAACAAAAGTTGACACTCCACAGAACAATAGGTTCTTTTATACTCCCTGAAGAAAGCATGCAAAACCACTGTCATTTACCACTGAGTAAATGAGATGAATTAGCAGTAAAAACACCGATGATGTGTATATTTGGAGAATAATCTCTTGCATCAGGGCATGGAACTATTTAGAAACTAGGATAAAAATACCATGTGTGGTTTATTTTTAGACTTGAAAATTGCTCAGTTCATTCTGTGCAGGCAGGGACTCGTATCAGAGAGATTCTTCAAATCAACAGTATGAGAAAAGAAAAGAGAGAGAAAGAAAAGGAAATGGAGAGGAAGCTTCTAAGTCAGGAACTGCTTGAGAATGGAGAGACCAGCCACATCACCGTCCATGCTGCCATCCCCTTTCCCAGTGTAACTAAGAGAGTTCACCCGCTTCATTTCTTTTCCTAAAAAATGTATTCAGAATGTAATAATTTTGGAGCAGACAATGCACCTCCTAACAGATATGCTAAGTAGTACTCAGCAGTATAGATCTCAACTTTGGATAATGTTATTGTAATTAACTAAATTCATGAAGAAAATGAATTAAATTCATACCCTTACTTAAATGACTGCATTGCTGGATTCTGTTCATTTTTGTGCTCAAGAATCAGAGCATTATTCTCAATATGTAATTTTCAAACTATACTAGCAGTAAATGCAATAATTGTAAATCCTGGAAATATTGGTTGGTAAACTCTGCCTTACATGTGCAGGGCAGGTAACATTTGGAGGGCATGGCAAGTGAATACCTCAATAGGATTTTATCAGGAATACTCCTGAATACTAAGTGACAGGCTAACAATCAATGTAGCTTTGCACTTTGAAGTTAACAATGACTTGCAGAAGAACCAGAAAGGAAAATCTGTGGAACAGCTCAAAAATACTACTGTATACTGTTCAGTAAGCCTGGATGTCCAAGCATCTCATTCTCTAGCAACAAGCGGTCAATAAATAAAAGCAGATATTAGATATTCAAAATTGGTATGAAACACATTGCATATTTCTTGCAATTTTTAGGTGAAAAGAAAGTATTTCTGTGAACTCAGTGTTTTTAGCAGATAGAAGTTGCCCAAGTTCTTAATAACAAATACATTTTTCTAACTCTCGCTTATGAAATCAGTGTGAATGAAAAGCAAGTGCATGAAAGAAATGTAGGATCAAACCAAAAACAGCAGATATACCAACTGCAACTGCTCAAACCTTACTAGAAGACTCAATTTGCTAAGTTGAGCAGTTATATTAGATGGGAAACTAGCTAGACTAGAATGATTTGTACTGGAGAGTCTAACACAACTCTACAGGAGATCCATGTTTCACAAGTAACTGCCTCCATTTGCCATAATTTGATGGCAATCAAATACAGCTTCAAAATGAACCTCTGGAACAAAATCAGCATAGTCTGCACTGGCATCATCCTGTCACCCTGCTGATGAAGACAGAAGCACCAGGATAGATAGTTTGGTGGCAGCAGGTGAGATTGGTGAAGAGAAAAAAAGCAAACTAACTCCATACCCTTCCCAGTAAGTAGGTTAGCAAAAGGAACACAGCCATTTGCTTTTGACCTTTTGGGGTGTTTGTGTGGGAAAGCTTCTTTTCCATCGTTGCACTAACAGATCATTTTTCTCCTCCCACAATAAAGATACAGAAAGTTGCTCCATGTTTTAAGAGACTGATTCTGAAAGATCTGAGTTCATGACATATCAGAACTATACCAGAGTATGTATGTTATAGGCAAAATGTTTAATTCCTGTTCTTTCCCACAACCTTATAAACACAAATACTGAAAGAATGCCTTATTTTTTCTAACCAATATTTTTCTAACCATTCTGGACAGACTTACATATCAGAGAAAACATGACAAATTTTTAATAAGGAAGTTTATGGTGACAAAATGAGAATCTATTCCATCTTATTCTGATTACTTCAAAATCAGATTCGCAGGGGAGCTAGCTGCCTAGAAGTTCTATATGTCTTGTGTACAGATTCATGTGGGCAAAACAAACTGTTCCTAAATAAGCTAAAAGTTTGTGAAAGCTGTCAGAGGTGTATGAAGCACAAAGTTAACATGGAAAACAAATGTTCCCAGATTGATTAAACAGGCACAATTAACTGACATTGGCACAGCGCAAGAACAGTTAATACCATGCTAGAGAAAGACAAGTTCTCAACATTATCAAATAAGATGGCTAAGCTAATTTTGAGTCAAAAATCAGCACAGAGGGAATCTTTTGACAGACCTTACCTTGGTGTGAGGTAAACATGTAATTTTGTCATTGTTATCAGTATGATATTCAGCATGGAAGACCTTTCCAAAATGGAAATGTGGAGGGTTCCACATGTATGCATCAGGGTAGGTAAAGCTGTGAAGTAAAATGATTACAACTTAATTAGTTCAGCCCAACACAGAGGTCCCAAAAATGGCACCTTATCCCCACTGCCCAAATAAGTATGTTACACACATACATCAGATCTGATCTGTACAGAGTTTTTGTTATTTTGTACCCTTGGAATAGAGCAGCTCCTGAAAAATCCATAGTTAAAATCAGACCCTATTCCTATTCCAGGAAAAACCACCAAGCCCTAAATTTAGAGAAATCTGCAGTTTACTACAGCAAATTTCCTTGTAACTGTGTATAAACACAGGAATACTTATAATGTTATTAGGTGTCTCTGAGCACTGCTTAGCTATTACTGAACACAAATAGAGAAAAAGTTTTCAAATGGAGAGCAAAAACTATAGTTGTAGTTTATGAACACAATTATACTTCATACAGTCCTGAAAATTGAATTGATCACAGTTCTTAAAAAATTTGCGACCATATCTGTGTGAAAATTCTATGTCAGAAATGTCAGAAATGTCAGAAATGTGGATGTGCCAATTCTAACCATAATGTTAACCTCAGCATGGAAGCCCAGGGTCAAAAGTCTTAATGAATGCGTTGCCAAATTCTGAGTTAAGTAAGTGAATGTAAGGGCCTAGCTAATTCAGACTCTTGCAGTCTAACACAGATTAATTTCGCTCCTATATTGAGGCCAAAAGCCTCACAGAACTGTTCAGGATTAAGACTATCCAGATAATCAGCTGAGACTGGAACCTTTAATAGCTGGTAGATAATTTGCTCAGGGAGATACAGAGCTAAATGTAGAATTTCTTTAGGAACAGCTTATCATATTCCCCACGTGGATCTGTATAAATGATACGCAAAACTATCAGACATCTGTATCCTACCTGCATCCACCAGGGGTCAGGTTGAAAATGGACTCTTTTTTGTCAACAAAATTCTCCAACCTTACTGGCTAAGAGGCCTTCTGCTGAAGAATTCAGTATGGCTTCTCACCTCAAGATGGGGTATAAATCCCTCTCTTAGCTGAAACAGCCAATTCTTCCTTTGCTTTTAGATTACCTGCCTCAACTCAGTTTAACAACGCTCCTCATGAGTAACAGTACTACTTCACACCAAGGATTATTGATGTATCAGTTATGAAAGCATCCTCTACACTAACTGTGCCCTGAACATTCACTATTTTTCTTCACCAACATCTACACATAGTATGAAATAGATTAATCAATGAATACTGAACACAGCTAACAATACAGCAGTTTCTATCCACAAGTAAAAATAACAACTTGAAGCTTGACTGAGGCTACTCTCCCAAAGATACCAGGGTCTGCAGGCTATGTTGCCACATCATTGTCTTTCTAACTTGCTTAATACGCATTCTCTTGGGTAAAATAATTTCAGATAACCATAGTTATAAAATAAATAAATAGCAGTTACAGATATAGGCTGTCTTCTGATTAAAATGACCTCTACAAGGCAACTCAGCAACATCCATAAGTAGTTTTAATAGGGCAAAAATCGAGAGACACATCTATAAAAATCTAGTTCTCTCTTTATGGGGACAGGATAGTCCTCTCTGCCACGCACTGAGGAGGCATCCACCTTCAGATATTCTAGGAAAATAGTAGAAAGTAGCATCTTCCATTTTTTTTAATTTCCTCAGATACTTGTTCTAAAATAGAGAATGAGTATCTGAAAATGAATTTACTGCTGATCAAGGGACAGATATTTATCAAAATCACAATATTTACTGATCTAACCACTACTGGGAATTTTCAAATGAAAGGTATAAAAATGACCTACAATGGCTGTTCTGGCAAAGTGGTCGGATTAAGTATAACAGCTTTAAATGCAGTCCAAACAAAGGGATCTGAGCAATCTAAAACTGTGTGCATTACATCTGAATTTCAATTTGATACTCAGACTTTTCTGATATAAAGTGATTCACATACAAAAGCTTTTAACTATTTCAGGGAATGTCTAGCACATCTCCCTCTTTTCTGCCAAGTGGAGTCAATACATTTCTCACGCCTGTGTATGTGCAGATGTACTGGCACACAAACGTGCCACCCAGCCCACAGCTCTCTGAGGGTTTTCTTTGTGCATCCACGGGGTTATGAAATGACAGAACATGATATGTGAATCACCTGTGGGAGGAAAATCATTACTTGAAAAGATACAGCATCATGCCTTAATCTTTTCTTCCACCCCACCCTCCCCCTGTATGGCATGAATTCCAACTATGACTTAAAAACAAAACATAAGAGTTTCACAGGGAGGATTTGTATATCTGAAATTGTTAATTTGCTTACTGGTCTCATTAGCAATGGCAAAAGGGAAAGCAAGGATTGACTGTAAATCAACCTAAAGTTGGCTAAGATAGCCCAGTACAGACCTAGAATATCTGAAGGAAGGGATCAGTATTCTAATGTTCAAAAACATAGTTCCTGGTAATAGTTCCTGGTAATATTTTTCTCTGAATGCTGCCAAAACAAATCCCTTCCTTTATCCACAACTAAAGACAAGAGCTTTCTCATTGCTTGCATGTGCAAGAGTCCATTACCTATTTTTAGCTAGGAAGACAGATAAATCAGCATCTATCAACTTTATGGGGTAATTTTATCAAGCCTTGGTTCAGCAGAGTGGGAGCTGTAAATGAATGTTATTTTACATTGGAATGAATGCTTGACAGATCAGGGTTTTTTCAAGCAGTTCTGGAACATTCTTTAGGTTAACAATGCACTATGTCAAACAAGTGGGAAAAAAATCTGATACAAAAAACATCTATTATCTAGGGAAATCATGATTGGTTTTCCTATCTGCTTTCCTTCTTAAATTACTCCCACAAAGCAGAGTAGATAATTGCAAAGCTCAGAGTAGCAACTATATTCTGACTACAGCAACCTGGATGCTGGATGACAAACTAAAGGCCCAGTACCCACATGAATGCACTGCTTTTGTTTACAAGTGACAATAAAGCTAAGATTTAAAAGGTACCCATGCCATCACTTCATTTATTTTACTGAGATTTCCACATTGCATTTGTGGCATTTCAGCATCTTCTACATACTGCACAACCACTATTTAGTAATTCTCTGTTATTCACATTAAGCTCTAAACTTTGTTACTTCTTGTGGAAAGACATGTTCTTGCTTCTAAAATGTGCCTGATGTTCATCAGCTTCCTTTATTTTCAAGCAGCTGTTCACTGGACCTTTACCTTTTTCCATTGTTTTTCTGGGCCAGCATAAAGAGGCAAAACAGGAAAAATGTAATAACTTCTACATTAGCATAAGAACAGTAAAATGTGCAAACTAATTCTCAGGTTTTATTTTACCAAAAACTCCTGATGGTTCTTAGCAACACTGCACCTGATTACTCTGAGAGAACTGGGAGGTGTTTATCAGGCTGTCAACTCACTAAGCATTCTCCGAAAATACAGTCATTGTATCTGCAAACTTCATGATGGAACAAAAACCAACGCAGTCCAATTGGCAGGATTTAGAAACACCTCCCAAATAAGGTGGTGAATGGCACCTATCAGAAAATCCTGGGGGAAAAAAACCACCTACTTTACAAAAACATATGTGCCAATTTTTCCTCCTTGACAAACAGGTTCCTTTTTTGCATAATTTTACGCTGGGGAAACATAGCGACTAAAACTCTCTCAAACATCAGAGAAGTAGTTTTCTTATTGTTTCACTTTTCTAAAGATTTCTCTTCCTTAGCTTTGTTGCTCGAAGATTGGACATTCAACAGATCACTTAAAAATAACCTGCCTTAGCTTCACAATTCAGTTCATTGTTCTACTCTCAGCAGAAACAGCCAACCCTATCACCACACACCTTCTGTGGAATCTGCACTGTGCCTGGTAAAAAGCAGGCGGCAGAACTTCTACTGCCTGGCACAGATGACTTGTAAGTTTCCTTAGACTAAGGGCACAACCCTTTTGCTGATGAAGGCACAAGAGCAGATTTTGTTGCTAATGTGTATAAAGGCTGATTCTCCTCCAGCCCAGTCCACCAAGTGCCTGCAAGTCTGAAATGTCTTTTACCCAGGATTTGATTCTTCCTCCACATCTATTGGCTGAAACTCATTGATGATTCCAAATATTAGTGGGAAAATTCACATGCCAACAGTATTCTCCTGTAGTGCTATCTGTCACAGCACTTGTGTAGCAGTCCAAGGAATTAGGTCAAGACTTACTATGATGAGGGAGCCCTAGATATAATTGCACTATACCTGGAAAAAATGGGAAGTTTTTCAAAGCACATGCCTGTATGAGGTTTTATGTGCTCCTATCTACTTTTCCAACTATCCCTCGCCCTAATAAAATACGTTCTGTGTCCCTAGAAAAATTAATATGCAGTATTCTGAATAGTAGATGTTTTTCAGTTTTAGCCCCTACCACATTGTATCCACAGTGATGCTCTGATGTTTTGCTTTCCTCTTCTAGCTTTTGGCTATGTTATCCTCTTCTAGCTTACTTTCTATTTATGAAACTATATAGTTCACAGCTACATTCTAAGCTAAGATCATAAGACGACGCATGCTCCTAGATATGGCCTGTAGAATAAAATGAGGGCAAAAAAAAAAAGTTCCCTGGGAGAGCATTTCTCATTCAATTTTAGAACAAGATGCAGTATTAGAGAAAGCCTTGCAGGAAATGTCACATGATCCATTACCATTTACTGATGAGTAACAAGGAGTGAGAGGAGCAGAGCAACAATGTGGTAGATCTTATAAAAGAAATGATAGGTCAAGATGTCACAGAAATAAATTCTGACAGTCGTTATGAACAGACAAAATGAAAATACAGCCTGAGTATGAAGAATGTTCTGGTACAAAAACAGTGAGAGAGCTGTGATTCCAAAGGTGATGTATTTGAGAACTCTAGGAAGAGGAAGAAATTCATGCTGGACAAACTATGTATGCATTACACAAGAAACCCTCTATGGGACAAGTATAACTGCAGAAAAGAAGAAATGGAAAGAAATTTTGAACCTGAGCCAAGTACAA